CACGTTCCATCGTCATCACGCATTTCTCCCGTTCCACAATCTCGCGTTCCATCTCTCTCGAGAACTCGAGCGATTCGTCTAAGAGCGATATTATCTCCGAATCCTTCAATTGACTCTCCGGAACATTAGACTGACTCTCCATTTCACAAACTAATACTATATCATCCATACTCTTAGTTAAATACTTTAAAGCGGCGTAAAAAAAATGCGCCAAACCACAAAAACAGGACGCGCTAAACCCCACGGAAAACGCCTCAGACGCGGGAAGCGCTAGATCCCGCGAAAAAAAAAAACGCTAAGGCGACGCGCGATATTTTACATAATCAGAATGCGCCTTCCCGTCGCCGCGAAAACAGGATGCGCTAGATCCCGCGGAAAATGCCTAGATACAGAACGCGCCTAACCGCAGCATCCTACAAATATTTCTTTCCTCTTTTTACGTTCCTGATAAAATAATACAATAATAAAATAATACAATAATAAAATAATACAATAATAAAAAATACAATAATAAAATAATACAATAATAAAGATAATACAATAATACAAATAATACAATAATAAAATAATACAACAATAAAGTAATAAAATAATAAAATATTCTCTCGTCATTATTAACATTCGTACGACGAGTGATTTCCTCCTCGCGCGACTCCCACCTTTCGTCTCTCATACATTCCCGATAATATAACGTCATCCTCGATATTGCAAATTGAAGACTTCCGGCGCGTCGCCAATCCGCCTCTCGTCTCCGCGATATGCAAACGAACGAGGAAAAAAACTCCATTTCTCGCGGTTAGTCTTAATCTCATACATATTCATATATACAATCCATAGTTATATTACGATTATAGTACATAATTATATGCACGCACACTTAGTTGCGCTAATTGATGTCAACGCGCTCTCTTCTTTTTCTCTCCTCTTCGTACGCGACGAAATGGTACCGCTTTTCCTCCAATACTTGCGATGAGCGCAAAAAAACATTTCGTCGTCATCGTTATCGTTAAATACGTCGTAATAGTTGCTTTCATGAAAGTTTATCATGTACTTCTGTCGTCTGCTAATCTCGATCGGTTTCTTCTTTTCGTAGAGTATCTCCAGTAAAAGATTATATGCCATCCCTCGATAGTGCTGACATACACACGCCTCTATTACCTTTTTAGATGGAATCTCACGCTGAGGCGGAAATTGACAACCGCGCCTTTTTAACTAATTAAAAAATCGAAGTGTATTGTCCTTTCACGACGTACTCCGTCACCTTGACCGATGGATACGCCGTTACGTTTCGTAATGGAGAAGATGTTAGATCATTCAGCGAATAGCACCAACACATCTCATCGTCATCGATCATTTGTGTCTCGCATAGCTGGCACCGATTCGCTACTTTGACGGTTCTCGCCATCGTAAACACGACAAGTATCACTCAAAAGAATCACCTCGACGACTTCGTCAAACCGCAACGTTCTACAAAACAGGACGAGCGGCACGCGTTATATCCTCATAGACTACACCTAGACACAGAACACGCCTAAGGCGACGTAACAAAAACAGGACTCGCTAGACCCCGCGGAAAACGCTAGGGCGGCGTCGAAAACGAACGCTAAGGCGGCATCCGAAAACGCGCCCGGGGTTACGCGGAGGCGCTAGACCCCCGCGGAAAACGCTAGGGCGGCGTCGAAGATGGGGAGGACACACACCGTTG